GGCATATGTCAATGGAATTTCAAAATATTTATAAAAGGTTACAAAACTTTAACAAAAGTGGTTACTCCGACACTGACGTCAACGCTAGGGCTACTAGGATAGCTCTACTTGTTCTTATCAAATAGTCAAGCTAAAAATCATTGAACCGTCAACGGCTCATGATATGCATAACTAGATTTGGTACTGATCATTCTTATAAAGTTTGGATGAAATTTCACCAATAGATTTGAGAAGTAGGGCAAAATTTTGTGAATCTGGCAACACAAAAAAACACCTTTTTTATTCAAAGACCATAACTTTCCCAAAATCATTCAACCAGAACACCCTTGCAATATGTACAAGGACTTTAGCTACAGATCAATCCTGAAAAGTTTCATTTGAATTTTATTAGTGGTATAAGAGAAGTTAGTCTGGACAAACTTTAAAAATAAATATTAACTCTGACAAAAATCATTGAACCAGAAAATGCTGATGAAATGCTAAACTAGACTTTGTACTGATCATTCCTGTAAAGTTTGGATGAAATTGCACGAGTAGTTTCTGAGGAGTAGTCTGGACAAGTTTTGTGATGGATGGTCGTGCAATCAAATAGGGATAAAGGGTAATTTCTGTTGTTGTTTTCTTTTGTTTAATCGAGGGCCATGGCCCCTTATTCTATTGTTACAGAATGAATTCTATTGTGTTCTTTTGTTTTGTTTAGATGGCCCTATCCCTATTTGGTAGTGCGGACAGACAGACAGACGCACTCACAAAATGGTACTTATGTGACTTTTCCTCTGCTTTTTTTAGCCATTTTTAGTCACACACGGTCTAACGGTAGGACAGCAACGCTCGACTATTCTTAGAGCTTGATAGTAAAAAAAGCCTTGATTAAAAGGTAAAATTTTTAAGCAAAGAAGAAGGCAAAATTTTTCTTTAAATCCATATTACAGTTATAGGCCTTGGACAGAGTCCTATTTATGCTATCAAAAAAGAGTATAAAATTTCAACATGTTTTAAAGCCATATGTTTATGTACTTTGAAAATATTTGAGGTATTACAAACACTTTAACGTAAATTCTAAGTCGAAAGAGGGGTATAATTCTGTCTAAAAGCTTGATAGAGTTACCTCCTCCTGTCTACAGGTTGTGGTCATGATGACAAACAAGTGTGCAAAGTTTCAAATATGAAAAACAAGATCAACAAGGAAAAGCGGCGTTCAATGAACGCAACCCCCATATGACCCAGCAACAAGAACCAATGGCAAGGAGCCCAGGCGGACCCCAAACATAAAAAGGACAGGGCAATGACACGTTAATCAATAAATGATAAATAATTTGTAACTGATTTGTAACTAATTTGTAACTAAGCCATATGTCAATGGACTTTGAAAATATTTGAGGTAATTCAAAAACTTTAACGTAAATTCTAAGTCGAAAAAGGGGCATAATTCTGTCAAAATGCTAGATAGAGTTACCTCATTCTATCTACAGATTGGGGTCATGATTGTAAACAAGTGTGCAAAGTTTCAAAGCCATATGTCAATGGACTTTGAAAATATTTCAGGTATTACAAAAACTTTAACATAAGTGGTTACGCCGACGCAGACGCCGACGCAGACGACGACGCATGGGTGACTACAATAGCTCTACTTATTCTTATCGAATAGTCAAGCTAAAAAAGACACACAAAACCAGAATCAAATGAATAGGATCAAAGAAAATGTACCCAATACTTACACAAGTATCTCTGTCTTTGTACGGACAGATGGTCGCAGAGAAGTGATCCCTATCCGTCGCTACTACTCTGTAGAGGCAACCCAAAAAGGAAAATTAATGACCAATTTGGCGAGGCCGATTTTCACATCAGGGCTTTAATTCGACCAATTTTTGTAGAGTTTCATAAGATCATGCTACACACAAATTATAACCTACGCCTAAGGCCTTGCAATTTCAGATGGAAGATGAGAAGAATATTTTTAAAGAGTTCATTAAGAAAACATTTGACCAAGGTGTTCAATGGAGCAGAACAATTTGAACAAGAATCTGTGTTTGATAAACACAAATGCCCCCGCGCTCACTGTTGTCAATTATTTAACTTTAGAGAGTGAAGTAGCTAGTTTGTATGTGTCTTCTCACCTGAGCATGTTTTACACTATCCTTCAGTTACTTTTCCATCTTAGCTTTTTCATCTTGATAATTTCTCTCAAAAGCCTTTAGCTATTAAACTCGATAAGTAAATGCCTTCATTAATTGTTAACACTTTTTAAATGATAAGAAAGAACAATTTGTTACTAAGAGATGCAAACAAATTATCGCAGTTAATGAAGAAAACCAATCATGTGTAGAAATCTGTAATTGGCACCATTGACCTTGACCAACTGACCCCTACCTCTATCAAAAGGAAGAATATCATGCAACTTATTTTCCTTCCAAATATGAAATAAATTTGTCAATAAATAAAGGCTGTATGGGCAAAAGTGAAAAAATCTATTTTTTGCACTGGTGACCTTGACCCAAATGACCCCTAACTCCATCCAAAGGAAGAATATCATGCAACTTATTTTCCTACCAAATATGAAATAAATCTGTCAATATACAAAGACTGTATGGGCAAAAGTGTAAAAATCTATTTTTAGCACTGTTGACCTTGACCCAACTGACCCCTAACTCCATCCAAAGGAAAAACACCATGTAAGTTATCTTCCTACCAATTATAAATCAAATCTGTCAATAATTAAAGGCTGTATGAGCAAGAGGGTAAAAATCTATTTTTAGCACTGGTGACCTTGACCCAACTGACCCCTACCTCCACCAAAATGAGAATACCTCAATTTTATGTTCCTACAAAAGATACAAGACATCTGTCGATAGAATAAGGCTAATACACCTGTAAAAGTGTAAAAAATCTATTTTTGACATTGGTGACCTAGTCAAAATGACCCCTTACTAAAGGAAAAGGAAGAGGACCTCCCTTGGTATGACTAGTATAAACATGAAAGACATTAACTTAAAAATAAAGACTGTATGAGCAGAAATGTTTAGATTTATTTTTTTACACAAGTGGCATTGACCTTGACCTAGAGACGCCTAACGCCACAAAAAATTAGAGGACCTTTAAAGGTATCTACCTACCAAATATGAAAGAAATCATTAAATAAATTAAGTAATAAGGTGAAATGTTTTGATAAATCCAACTTGGCGGAATAGGTTAACCATACAAGGCCCTATTTGATCAAAATTGAAATTACTGGGAATGGATGGCACATTTATATAACTTGGCAATATCATGTACATTGTATTGATAAGTAAGTGTGGAAATTATAAAGCCATTAGTTCAGATAGAACATAAGATATTTCCAACTTGCCGGTTTAGGTTAACCATTATTCATTTTCTAAGTGCTGAAAAGGGCCATAACTTGGTGCAAATGGAAGCCATAGTTATGTAACTTGCCCAGATTATAAACTTTGTATGGATTATTAAGTGTGTAAATTATAAAGCCATTGGTACAGGTAGAACTTAAGAAAAATCCAACTTGCCATTCTAGGTTAACCTCGTACGAACGGACGGACGGACAGACGGACGGACGGTTCAATATTTATTTTCCCGAGGGCATAATAAACAAGAACGTGTTTGTTAAACACAAATACCCCCGGCTCCGATTCTTGTCAGTAGCAATATTTCAAAAAATGTTTACCCATTCACTCAGTTATGGACAGAAACATTGCCAAAAAATTATAAACACTAGTTATATTGCTTGACAAAGTCATGGCATTTTGTAATTGTGAAATATATAAGTTGCCAAGTCATTGCTATGACTTGTGAAGTGATAAATATTCAACTTTATCAAATGTATATAAATGTAAGAAGTCTATACTTGGCACCCTTGACCTTGACCCACTGACACCTATAGAATATCATGCAAGTTATCTTCCTACCAAATATGAAATACACCTGTCAATAAATAAAGGCTGTATGGGCAAAAATGTTAAAATCTATTTTGAGCATTGATGACCTTGACCAAACTGACCCCTAACTCCATCCAAAGGAAAAATCCTATGCAAGTTATCTTCCTACCAAATATGAAATACATATGTCTAATAATAAAGGCTGTATGGTCAAAAGTGTAAAAACCTATTTTAAGCACTTGTGACCTTGACCCAATTGACCCCTAACTCCATCCAAAGTAAGAATAACATGCAAGTTATCTTCCTACCAAATATGAAATATATCTGTCAATAAATAAAGGATGTATGGGCAAAAGTGTAAAAATCTATTTTTATCACTGGTGACCTTGACAGACGGACAGACGGACGGACAGACGGACGGACAGTTCAATCACTATATGCCCGGGGGCATAAAAAATTACGAAAGCTTCATGCTAGGAACATCCGCGGAAAATTTCATCAAATTTGACCCAGTCGTTTCTGAGTAGAATTTGTTTGTAAAAAAGTTGATGACAGACACAGACACACAGATGCAGACAGACACAGGACAAATTGATATCACAAAAGCACTTTGTGCTCAGATGACCTAAAAAATTGTTTAGCTACATAGAAGGAAATAAGTATACTGTCCTTAATTTGCAACTAGATTCTTTTCTGACAAACCAAAATAATTTCAATAATCTTTGAGAGTATCTTAAAATGACTGTTTTTCATTCTTGCCAAACAATGTTTTGTTAGAGTCTTTTAAAATGATGCATTTGAATTTATCAATATATCTGCAAACATCATCTTGTTTGAAACAAAAGGCAAGTATACTTCTCAGTTATAGTCTGCAACGGTCACTTTCATATTGATACGCTGCCATCTAAAAAAATTCCATATTGTGTTCCTTTTGCCCAAAGTGATGAATCTTAGTACAGTTACTCTAAAGGTTACAAAACCAAGTACAGTTATTCATTTATGCTGTGGTAGGCATTTTAATGTGTCTAGTGTTGAGTGTACAATAAATATTGTCCATGAATTGGACAAACTATTTAACTCAAAGGATATCATTGACAAATAATTATTTCTTACCACATGAACCTAAGTTGCAAGATACTTGCTGAGATCCAATTCCTGGAGAACAGGTAGCACCACTAGGAGTGCAAGTTCTTGTTCTAGTTTGGGTTCCATCTCCACATGATACACTGCAGGTTCCAAAATCACCCCATGTCCCCCATGTAACTAGAAAAATTAACACAACAAAATAACTACACCCTTGTATTATCATATTTCATTACTGACTGTGATTCCTTTCGTGAAGAAATTCCTGATACATTGTATTATAAAGTGCTGAAAAGGGCAATAATTTGGTAAATATGGAAGCCATAGTTATGTTACTTGACCAGATCATGAACTTTGTAATATTTAGTAAGTGTGTAAACTAAGAAGCCATTGGTACAGATAGAACTTAAGAAAAATCCAACTTGCCGTTCTAGGTTAACCTAGTACGGACAGACGGACGGACGTCCGTTCCAACATTTTGGCTTTAGGGGCTATTTTCTGTGTTATTTTCTTTGTTTTCTTAAGTGCTTCTAGCCCCTAAACCCTTTGATCACTTTATTTCTCAGGATACTGTTTATCTGAATAACACAGCTTTTTAACAAAAAAAAAACCCTTTTCAATTCCTAATGTTTAAGATAATTATCATACTTTTTAGCTTGTTAAGCTACCTGCCAGTATCAATAAAAGTAAAACTTCACTTACTTTCAAACTTGTTCTTGAATTTAATTATATCTTATGTTTATTGTTTTATGTTAGACAGGACACATTGTGTCAAGTTGGAAGACTTTTTAATAATATAATGCATTTTATGTTTTAAGATGGCATATATTTTTTAAATGTAAGGAAGAGCTTAAATTTAAATCTATAATATTATTATTCAGAACTTTTAATATCATTTAAAACAAATCCTTCATAATACTTCATTGTACTACCCATCGTTTGTATATTCTCTTAACCCAATTAGACATATTCATTTGCTAGATTTCAAGTATTTCTGCAATAAAAGTATTAAACTTTAAGGTGAGCACATATCTTTAAGCTTGTATGGACATATAACAAAACTAACACAACACACATCAGCAGAAAAGCTGGAGCTATATGGCAACATTAAACATTGAAGTTTATCTACTTCTAGCACAAAGTCCGGGTGATAAAATAAAACACTAACTATTTGATACTGACTCATCCATTGCCTCAATAACCTAAATTCAAAGTTACAAAAAATGTCTTAAAATACTCACTGAGATCTGTATGTATTAAATGTGGCTGACCTATTCTAAATGAACTGCTGCTCATTTATGTGGTGAAATTATAGTTAAAAACTAAACTGATGAGGTTATAAGTTAAATAACATGTGATATGAACATGTATCCCTGATTGTATTGGGGATCATATGCATAATATCAATTAAACTAAAAGTTACGATGATCAGTCATTGAAAATTTGACAAAACTAATTTATTTCTAAAACAAGAATGTGTTTGTTTAACAAAATTCCCAAGATTTGGCTCAGATTCTTATCAGTATTAATATTTTTAAACAATGGCCCTGGATCGCTCCCATGACCCATCAACTGCATCCAAGAAATGTCTTAGACAAGCATCCTAGCCAAGTTTGATGACAATTGAGTCAAAAATGTGACCTCTATTGTGTTAAAAAAGGTTTTCCATATTTGGGCAATGTCACCAAATTTTTGACTGGAGATGCCTGACAAATTTCCAGAATATTCGGATCAAAACTGCAGCCACTAGAGTGTTAAAAAGAATTTTCTATTTTTAGCTCCTGTGACCTAGTTTTTGACCGGAGATGACGCATCTTCGAACTTGAACTAGAAATCATCAAAACAACCTTCCTGACAATTTTCCAGAATATTTGGATAAAAACTGCAGCCCCTAGAGTGTTAAAAAGCTTTTTTCTATTTTTAGCTCCTGTGATCTAGTTTTTGACAGGAGATGACCCATCTTCGAACTTGAACTAGAAATCATCAAAACAACCTTCCTGACAAATGTCCAGAATATTTACATCAAACCTTCAGCCACTAGAGTGTTAACAAGCTTTCTCTTTTTTTAGCTCATGTGGCGAAGATAACCCATCTTCGAACTCGATCTGTATTTCATTGAGACAAACATTCTGACAAAGTTTGACAATGATCCAATCAAAACTGTGACTGCTAGACTGTTAACAACCAAATTGTTGACGAAGCACGACGACGGACGCCGAACATAACCCTATCACTATACCTCACCTTGACCACTTCGTGGTCAGGTGAGCTATAAATGTTTACCCATTCACTCAGTTATGGACAGAAAATTTGCTAAAAAATTGTAAACACAAGTTCTATAGCTTGACAAAGTCATGGCATTTTGTAATTATAAAACATATAAGTTGCCAAGTCAATGCTCTGACTTGTGAAGTTGAAAAATATCCAACGTCGTGCAAGTTATCTTCCTACCAAATATGAAATACATCTTTCATTAAATAAAGGGTGTATGGACAAAAGTGTTAAAATCTATTTTAGCACAAGTGACCTTGACCCACTGATCACTACCCAAATCGAAAGGATGAATACCATGCAAGTTATCTTCCTACCAAATATAAAATATATCTGTCACTTAATAAAGGCTGTATGAGCAATTGTGTAAAAATCTATTTTTAGCACTGGTGACCTTGACCCAACTGACCACTAACTCCATCAAATTTTATGTTTCTATCAATTATAATTAACATCTGTCTATAGAATAAGGTTAATACACCTGTAAAAATGTAAAAATCTATTTTTAACATTGGTGACCTTGACATTGGTAACATTGACCTTAACCCAAATGACCCCTTACTACACCAAAAGAAGGAGGACCCCCCTTGGCATGTTTGTATTAAACTAAGACATCAACTTAAAAATAAAGTTGTATGAGCAAAAATGTTTTATTTATTTTTTAAACCAGTGACATTGACCTTGACCCTAAAGACCGCTTACTCCGCAAAAAATTAGAGGACCATCAAAGGTATTCATCTACTAAATATGAATGATATTATTAAAGAAATTAAGCAATTAGGAGAAATTTAAGATCAATCCAACTTGCCGAAATAGGTTTACCAGACAAGATCCTATTTTCAAAGTGAAAAAAGGGAAATAACTGGGAAATATGGATGACACAGTTATATAACTTGGCAATATCATGTACTTTGTATTGATAAGTAAGTGTGGAAATTATAAAGCCATAAGCATAGATAGAACTTAAGATATTTCCATCTTTTCGTTTTAGGTTAACCATTATTCATTTTCTAAGTGCTGAAAAGGGCAATAACTAGGTACATATGAAAGCCAGAGTTATGTTACTTGTTCAGAACATGTACTTTGTATTGATTAGTAAGTGTGTAAACTAAGAAGCCATTGGTACAGGTAGAACTTAAGAAAAATCCAACTTGCCGTTCTAGGTTAACCTCGTACGGACAGACGGACGTTCCAACATTTGGGTTTAGGGGCTATTTTATTTGTTATTTTCTTTGTTTTCTTAAGGGCTACTAGCCCATAAACCCTTTGATCACGGAATGAACCAATTGTTCTCTTTTGTTATCTTTATGTAGCCCCTAAACCCAAAATGTTTGCTCGGACGTACAGACGGACGGACAGACGGACGGTTCAATTACTATATGACCGGGGGGGGGGCATAAAAAATTCGGTCAAACTTTTTCGTGATAAAAAAATGTTAATTAAGGCTTTTCCTTTTTAAATGGACAAAACTGTTGAACATTTTCAACCTGTCATATAAATTAAAACAAAAACAGTAGTAAGTTTGTGAAATTTATCTGACAAAAGTGACTGTTTCATACATTTGTTATATGTGCCTATCATTTCTCAAGGTATGATACCATCCTTAAATTTCCTTATTTGAAAGGTTGTTGCAAAAAAATGTTAAAATTTGGTGTCTTTAAAGTAAAATCATTACACAGTTCTAATGAACATTAACATGCAGTGTTCCAAGAAGATTGAACAACACCAGAAATAACAGCTTTCTTATAACAAAGAAATGTCCCTCCTGTTAAACAGTGCAAAAAATAGATCTATTAGTGAAGTATACATCAGCATATCAAATTCAACCAAACAAAATCGGTGAAAATTTCATTTTAACATGCTGGAGAATAGGTAATTTATCAATTACATATCATTTGGGCATGACAGTTAACTTTTAGCGCCATCCTTCATATGATAAGCAGGTAGGCAACAATGATTCTAATGTTATACTCTGGAGTAAATGTTATATATCAGTATTTGCACAAGTGAGTTAAAATCTTAGTTGATGTTTATTTAGCACTGAAACTCTTATTTATATTAAGATAAGAAAAATGTTAAGATAATAATAAATGATTTTACCCTGCAAACAATTTCCTCCAGAACTATAATATCCATCATTACATTGGCAAGTGTATCCTGTTTCTCCTGATTCAGCTTTACAATCAGCATTAGCATCAGAACATTGGACTGCATTTGGGGCACTTGCAGGATGTGTACAGCTATCGTCTAAGGCATGTTCTTAAAATCAAAGAAAACAAACATGTAGAACTATTTTCTAGGATTTGCAAAATCATTTACATGTAATAATAGTTATGACAAGAAGTGATTTTATTCAAATTGCATCTTTATAAAACAAATGTTTTGCAATGATCTGTCACTATAGAAACATATCTTCAGATATAATGTGCATATATGTGCATACAGAAGTATTATTTTTAACTACTAAAAGGCAATGTTTTATTCTAAAAATAAAAAAAAACCTTTGATTATTTAAAGTTTGGTTTGAGTATTTCCAACTTTGACAATGTCTGATGGAAGACAAAATATTTAATACATTTTTAAACAATATAACTCATTTTTAATTATTTTTTTTAAGTAAAAGCAGCACGCCTCCAGATGTCTGCTTTTTTCATGAAAATTTTAAATATGTACAAAACCATAAAATAGTGTAAGGTTAACAAAGAAAATACTTCCTACTTTGCAAACGGCACCAATGTAAATTACCAAATAAAAATTTATAGGTAAAACTATGAAATAATAGACCTTACTGCGTTAGTAACGCAGTAGAAATATGTTGATAAATACCGCAATATCAGTCATAAATCGTAGAAAGAATGTAAGTTTTTACTTAAGTCTTGGATTAATATAAACATATATATATATTTTTTCAAATTAGATCAAGTGTGGAGCTTAGCGATTCTAGTGAGGACCCCATTTATGAAATGTCCTATTGAAAATCTAAATATCGGATTGATTGTGCAAACAAGCGGTTTCATTTTCTGATAAAACATTTTTGTACTGAACAGATTTGTTTCCCACAAACACTCTTTTCAATCTTTTTGTTACACATGTCACCTACTGCATGCACTGTGCATTTCTGTAATTATAATGGTATATTTGTCATAAAGTAAGAATCGATAAAAAGGTGAATTGTATTTAATTTGTCTTGGTTATTTGAGAATGCGCTTTTTGCTAAAAGTATATCCCATACTTACTAGCAATACAAGATCCACCTAGGGATGTATCACCATTATTATCATAGTGTGTGTCCTTGTCACACTGACATTTACTATTACTATCACAGAGGACATTTACATCATTACAAGCTGCTGTAAATGTACAATCTCTTCCAAGCTCTAGAAAAGACAATATTATGTGACATGCATCATATTTAAATCACAAATAAAATTATTAATCAACTCTAATAATCTAATGTTTTTGAATATCAACAAGTAACAAAAATCCTAAATAAAAAAATATTTAAATGACAGAATGTGCTCGGCATTTCAAATTACATTAATCTTTTTAATAAAATATTTTTCATAACGCAAGGAATTACTGACACACATTTTTAATGCAAAAACAAATACGCCCCCCCCCCCCACTTGCGAAAAATAAAGTGGTACTTAAAATGTGTTGCATGTAACAGAAGATGTGTTGAGAAAGGATGCTTCGAGATATAATCATGTAGCCCATAACATGTTTTAGTTTTACTCATTGTTTAAAATGTATCTGAATTCTTTTTTCATGCAAATGATCTTTAATTATATAAGACCTTGTATATAATTAAGTATTTCAGAATATCTAGAAAGAATTATTTTATTAAGAGCTTATTATTTTGAATAAGTAAGACAACAACTGCTCTTACATTTACTAGCATTATAAGTCAATATCAAATTTACTTTTATTTTTCATGTGTTACGTATTTGCAGTTAACTATATACATTTTGCTCCAATGACGTAAAATTGTATTTAAGAAGTTTACACTACCTTTCACACATTTATCTCCAACTCGAGTGTAGTAGTTATCTGTATAACAAACACATGTGTTATCACACACCTGACCAGTCTCTGTACAATTACTATTATCGATACAGGCATCACCAAATACAGCTGCAGCACTTGAATGGACGCTGCATGCAATTAACTGAAAATAAACATACATGTTAATTAGTAATCAATCCATTATCAACAGCAGTAAAACAGAAACTTTAGAAAATGAATATGGCCAATAATAAAATTTTTAACTGCTTCAAAGTATAATGATTGTGTAAAAATGTTATAATTCATTCATCGATGTGAACTTTTTTATAAATGCAATGTACCACATTTAATGATAAGTTAATATGAAAGAAGACTTATGCAATACTGCTGGTAAAAACTTTCGATGAGTATGCATGACTATACTTAATATAAAATATGTTCTTAAAGGTCAACAAGATGAATGTTCCTTTCTAATATGATATATTTGCAATAATAAAAATAATGATAATAATAATAATAATAATAATAATAATAATAATAATAATTAATGAAGGTTTTATAAGGAAATATTACACAAATCTAGTTAAGCACCTTTAACTTGACCCACTTGCCCCTTACTTAGTCAAAAGGAAGATTACCATGCAGATTACTTTTCTTAAAAAACAATATCCGTCAATAAATAATTGCTGTATAAGCAAATGTTTAGAAATCTATTTAAGTCCTCATTGACCATATTATTAACTTAATACAAAGGAAAGAGACTATGAAAGTTATCTTCCTACTAAATATAAAAGACATCTGTCAATAAAACAGACTGTATGTGAAAAAGGGTAAAAATCTATTTCCGGCACTAGTGACATGACTCTACCCAAAGATACAAGTGGAAGCCATAGTTCATGTATTGATAAGTAAGTGTGTAAAATATAAAGTCATTGATTTATTAAGGTTGAACTTAAGACCAATTCAATTGGCCATTTCAGGATAACCTTCGCACGGTCAGATGGAGTAGCAGACGGTTCAATAAAGTGAATGCTTGGGGCATACAAAAAATTTAAAAGCAAAATCGTGTTTGGTTGACAAAAACTCTCCTCGCTCAGATTCTTGTCAGTTACAATTTTCTAAAAGGATTACCTAATCCCTTTATATATGATCAGAGAGAATGTCAAAAATATTGTAACATAGTTATATAACTTGACAGAGACATAACCTTGTAAGAGTAAAAACATAGGTTTGCATGACCGAGACATAACACTTTACATTTTCACTTATCATTTCATAAAATTGTAGCAAGAAAGTAATCAAAATAATTAAAATCTAAGTGATGAAGCACTTACATACTTAATCATACCGGTAGTTACATTAAGAGAATCTTAAAAATTATATAAAAAATGTTTCAATCTTAAACGGACATGTCTTCATGTCATCAAAGGTATAAACAAAATAATGGAAAGGAATTGCCTGTGTGCTCTAAAAAAATTACTTAAACGTTAAAAATTGTTTTCATTTAATAAGGAGTTGATTATTACCAAGAAACATAATACGATGGAAAATAGAATATTTCATTTGTTAATCAAGATGCCTTATTTTTTTCTACTTACATGATTGTAAGGAAAAACCCATGACCATCTCACCTTGGCCAGCTTAAATATTTTTGACCATCGATTTATATTTTGAAACATTTAGGTAGAGGTCCACTAGACAACATGCATGCCAAGTACCTATGATATAGCCCTTGATGTTCTGGAGCAGGACATTTTTGAATATTTTTATTATACATATCTAGGGAAAACCAATGACCAAGGTCAATTTTGACAACATTTGAACATTATTAGTAGAGGTCTACTAGACAATGTTTCATGACAAATGTCTGAGCTCTAGCCCATTTTAGTGTTGAAGGAGAGATTAATATGTATTTTGTGAAAACCTATAACCCCTGAGGTGTGATCAATTTTGATCCGACGCTTTATAATTTGATCATTCTTAATATAGGTCAACTAAATTATATTTAATGAAAATGCTCTAGTCCTTGTAGACTTGAAGAATTTCTTCTTTATTTTGCAAGATTTGCCAAACATAATTTGAATAATCGTAATAGAGCGAAATATTTGATCTCTTCCCCTTATAGTTTTGAAGAAAATAATTCTGTCAAAGACTTAACGATAAAATATAAAAACACATGCCCCCGGAGCGGTCAAATTTGTACCGCAGTACTTTTATATGAACAATCTTGGTAGAGATTTGCAAGACAATCTGCACGAAGTCAAATTCTTTGAAATTCTCGGGAAGCCCTTTGCTAAAGAGCAAACATAGCAGGCTTGGTTGAAATTGGACTTTTTTTTAAAAGAACTTTCAAGAAGATATTTGAAGTTCATTGGTTAATCCACCAGAATATAACAAACACACGCACACTCGGGCACGCACAACTATCGCTATATTGAATGCCATCGCAGATGATGCGTAGCATGAAAATAATTTACTTAAAAATGTATATTGTAAAATGCAAAGTTTCAGGAGCAAAAATAAAACAATACAATTTATGACATTATTGGGAAACAGAATGCATATTAAAAGTTTTATATCGTCATGGATTTCTCGGCATGACTTAATTTCATTTAAGACTATGACTTTTTCCGTGATGTTACCATAAACCTAGGTTAACGCACGCTGTTTGATAATGAGACTTAAATGCAATTTAATACAACAGACAAAGATGAAAGAGTAAAGATGAAAAAGTGTGTATGAAAGCATACGTTTCTTATCTATATTTTATTTTTCATTTTTTGATATCTTAAACATGAAAAAAGTTTAATTTTTATGTTTGATTTTCATATTGATCTCAAATCTTCATCATCAAATACCATATACGTTTAAGACCATGCTTTGCTATGAATAGAAGTTGAGGGAGTAAAGTTCCAAGCTGAATGTTGCAACATTTCTGAAAGACTGGGAGAAAATTAACTCATCAAAACAGAAACTAGTGTTCAACAAAAATATTCAAGTGGGGTGTTATATTCTTCATATATGCACACTATTGCTTCAATAGAATGTTTATAAATAATTAAGTTATTAGAGCTTGAAATAGTACAAGATACAGAATAAAATGTTTTAATTTGAATTGGAAGTCAACTCTAAACTCAGTCATATGTTGTAAACAAAACTATTAGCATATCAACTATTTGATAAATAAAAAGTGTACACAGAAAAACACAATAAAATGAGCATGAACTTCGGGATGTTTCTAATTAGAAATAAAATAACATTTGTTTCTAATTAATAATACAATTAAATAATTATCCCGTGCCTATGGGTTTATTTCGTTCCAACCAAATATGATAAATATTCTATATAATATTTTGAAATTAGGAATTGAGTACCTTGAATAAGGTCATGAAATCATTTAGAATGTAGGGACTCGGTGTTTCTCGTTATGTTGTGAGATTCAAGCGAACCAAAACCAACGAATGGAACAACATTTTATTTATATTAAGTAAAACAAATTCAGTGATTTAAACCAGCTCTCGGATAACAAGAACAACACTCAAATCAACTTTGTTTTTATCAAAGAAATGAATTAATTGTTTAAGTTTATTGAACTTATAAACTTTAACTAAGAAATGAGTCATTATATTTTTGTATACATATTTTTGTAAAACTCATTTGTATATACATAATAATTTGTATAAAGTTGTATATGATTGAAAGTTAAATTGTTCATTTGTGTTTCTAATTGTTGTATATTTCTGGTGACACCACATTACTATCCACGGGCATGACGTTTGCCAGTAATATAGCGTTTATATTCAAATGACAAACATCCTACTATTCATCCTTAAAAATTGAGTCATTGCATGAAAACATCATTGTTTTTAAAATGTCATCAAGTGCGAACATTTCTTTTATAGGAAAGAAAAAAACTGAAAGGATAAAGAACCCAATCCACTTGTTTTCATTGATGGGGGAGTATTAAACTTTCAGTGTTTTTTGACAAATACAATATTTCATCATAATGAAAAAACATTACGTCAAGAAATATCGATATCTGTTTATAAAACTAAAATACTGTAACAGACGTACATATTTAACATTTTGCAGATAAGTGTACGACAATGGATGGCATAGACGGTCCAAGGTTACTGCATTGTGGAATAAAGCTTAATTATAAGTTGATTAAAACAAAAATGATGAATTTGTCCATTACACGTTCTCTGAATTATTGTGGTATAAAACTACAAGGCAGGATCTATAAAACAAATAGAGGATAATCCTAAAGAACATCCAAAACGGCAAAATTAAAATGTTTTCGTAAGTTTGGTTTTATTGAAGCTGTTCATAGACGGCAGTAGTAAGTGCAAGTTACTGTCAAGCCCTTAAGTATCCGCATTTAATGAAAGAGAAATGTATGTTAACCTTTATTTTATACAGATAAATGTACCGGGTATGTTGAAATACTAGTTCTTTTTTTACTAAATGTCATACGAAACTTTATACTCTTTTGTCATGGTTCTTTATAACTCGATATAGGTTAATTATGATTTAAAATGTATATAACTTGACAACTCGTTAATACAATGCCTATTAAGGTTAAGCTTGTTTATTTAGTAGATATAAAAAATTAACATAATAAATTGGCACCAGGACGCTTCGTAGGTTAGACCCTTTGAACCGAAAACTGAAGAATTATTTTATCAAAGTTCTGTGAATTTAATCTGCTTTTACGTTTTCAACCCATGTATTCATGCATAAAATATCGCTTTTTGCTGTATAACATACTTTTGTTTATCATACTAAATTTATTTTACCTTTAAATAATTCCTATTTAAATAATCGTAGTAAAAAAATCAAGAACAGTTTTTAAACTTTATAATTCCGCCCAATACGGTGATTCGGAATATGAACGCTTCAGTATGTAATGTATAAAAAATGTCGCTTCGTGGTCCGTACACAAAATGAATTACAAATGATGTACACATTATCTATTTAAGAATTGTTTGAAAGTTGATAATTTGTTAAAAATACATTAACCTTCTCAGCCGAATTGTTGCATGCTTATAATAGGTGGGGAATCATGACATCAGTGATTCAAAGGTTAAGTTCCATATGTGGTCTAAAAACCTTATAGTAAATTATGTAGACAAAAAGAGAGAAAAAAACCCACACAAACAA